GGAAGGGGGGAAATAGAGAGGGGAGGAACAATCGCAACAGATAGAGAGAACGATAGGGGATGAGGTAAAGCTTGAAAGCAGGAGAGGAAGAGAGGGATATATAAAGATATATTTTCATCCTAACTAGCTCCTACTGTCATTCTCTATCTCATTTTCCATTCTTCCTCCTCCTCACCTTTTTTCCCTCGACTGTTTCTCTTATCTATCCTCCTTTCTCTCTCCTTTCCCTCTTGCGTCCTTGCTTTCTTCTTCTCCCCTCCTCCATCTGTGTGTTATGAGTAGGAGTTGGGGAGAAAGTACGTGGGATTTTCCCACAGCTCGGCAAGACCAGACCCAACCCCACACACACACACACACACACACACACACACACACACACACACACACTCCACTCCCTCTGTCTCATGTCAGAGGGGAGTCTTGAGGAAAACCACCCATATTCCACCACCAAGTATTCTGGATGTTTGTTGGAACTTTCTGCCGCTCGTTGTTCCATAGACATCAACTGTGTGCTGCTATGGCAACAGATTAATTAGAACAAGGTTAAGGGACAAAAATATCTCTGCCTTTGAATTAAAACAGTCTAGCTCCTATTAAAACATTTAATTTGAGAAATCCTACTAATGAAATTCTTACAAAAGGCTTTAGTTTCCACATGAGGACACAGATGTTTTGCAACTGTATAAAAAGTTTTGTATGTATTTCCCAGGGTCATAAAACTCCATGGTAAGCTCCATCTTGCCATCCATTTTCTGTCCCTTATTCAGGTTCAGGTCTAAGGAAGAACTCCCAGAGGTTTTTCTCCCCAGCCATGAGGTCCGACTGCTCCTCAGGCATTCCAAGGCAAGACGGGATATTGAAACCCTTTAACGCACAATCCAGATGTAATACTTTGTCCTACCCTCACGATCCAAGATACTTAAAAGCCTTTACCTGGGGTAGCAACTTGAAGGGCTGGGAGAAAGTGGCTACCCCAGGGCCCAGTTGTTCAAAAGTAATCAGATCGTATTTCGGCTATTGGATAGAATGAAGTCTTGAAAATGGGTTGTTCAAAAGAATAAAGGATTCCGATGTTGGAGTTTTGATCTGGATCAAACTTTTAGTATGTGTTCTTCAAAACTTTTGGTAGGATTGGGATACCTTTGATAAAAAAAAAAAAACAGGATTAGTCTGATCCTAGCAGGAGGGCGGATTTCAGGAATAAAATGTAACAAAACTTTAAACTGTTCAAGATATATGGTATATGCACAATATTGGATTTTCTGCCGATATCTATTATGCCAATGTGTAACAACTTATTTGGCCAATAACCAATACTGATATTAATTTATCCACCTTTTTCCCTACCTAATTTTAGTGATCATCAAGTCTCAGCTTTAGTGGAATTAACATCATATGCATGCATACTCTTATCATGATGGCCCACCAGCAGATGGAGACATGTAATTTAATACTTTCGGCATATGTAATATTAATTCATTGTGTGAAATAAGAAAAAACATGCTGGCCGATTCCAATAGTTCATTTTAAAGCCAATATCGACCAAATAGCTGTCAAAATCAAATAAAAACTATTTAAAGTTATAATCTCAAAGATCTCTGTTTCGTTCTCTAGCTGGATCAGGGTGATCCAATCAAATGTTGATTTCAAAAAACATCACAAAGGTAAGATGGACCCTCTGATCCTGGATAGCAAAACAAGGGATTTCCAAATCTGGATAGTTCTTTCTGATCCAAATTAATTTTTCTGAACTTAGCTCAGGTGAAGATTTACACCACTCTAACCATCATTTTCGGAATATGACTGTTTGAGACTTGGAGTTGGGCTCTTGGTTTCACACCATCCCTGCAAAAAACAGATGCAATCCAGAAATGAACAAAGGGGAAAGATACTCTATATTCCTAAGCTTTGCCGAGAGATTTTGTCCATGAAAATCACAAACACCTTGGTGAAGTACAGTGCCTACTCAGGATATGCTTGTCTTATTGCTTAGAAAAGAACACAGCTCTAGTGCTGGGTATCGGTACACGAACGAATAACCCGCTTCCATGTAGTAGTGAAACTTTTACATTCAAACGATTCATTCAATACTTATAGACCGAAGCAAGGCATCCCTTGGTTGCTAGGAAATGACATTGCTGTTCCACTGTTCCACAAACTTTTGGTCCAGCCACTAATACACGGAAACAGCATATGAACTGCTAAACTTTAGTCCACAACTGAAATACACACCACAGGAAAAGGCAAAAATAATTTTAGGACCTTGCCAGTGGTAGGTTTTTCCGTTTCATAAAGTACAATTGTCAGAAATAAAAGTCTACCGCTTCTCTAAAGAAACAAAGAAGCGCAAACCATGTTGCAGCTGTCAAAAGAAAGAACTGGACACTGTTGGGAAACTCTGAGGTATGTAACGCTAATTTCATTACAGATAAGTGAGCCTTTTCAAGCTAATGCTTGCTAGCCAACAGTCTACAGAGAGAGTTACATTTGCATTTGTGTGTGCTGTTTATCTGTCTTGCCATTATTATCCTCAAAATAATTCCAAGGACCCTGGAGTTTCCCGACGTTGTTTCTTTTGACCGCTGCAATCCATGATTTACGCTGGTTTATCACTTTAAGAAGCAGTACACTTTTATTTCTGATATCAAGTTTGTATCTTGTCGAAGGGAACAACCTACCATTGAGCAACAAAGTCCTAAAACTAATCTTGCCATGTCCTAGTGTGTGTATTTCAGTTCAGAGGACTAAACTTAACAGAAACACTAGATTGGAAGTCTAAGTGGAACAATTGTCCTTTCCTAGCAACCAAAAGACGCCTTCAAACAAGCTATTGTACCCAGATCTAGAAAAAATTAGTATTTGTATGGTTTTGCTCACAGTCAATCACTGCAAGTGTTGTATGATTTACTGCTGTGTGTGATTGGCCCACTGGCGAAGCAGTTACAAACCATACAGTCAGTGATGTGGTGAAGTCGAGCACAGTGTCTTTGACTGAGTTGACACTTCAAAACATTCTAAAGTATGTCTTTACTATGCTCCTGTGGCATCTGGTGGCATTTTTAACAATTGAATGCTTCCAACCACGATCGGTTTCAAATGAAGTAGTCTCTCCACCGGACAATCAGAGATCTCTGCCTTCTGATAGTCTGGGGACACTCCTTTCTAAAGTGTGTTTAACACACCGGCGAAAACGGCCGGCAACAAAGCAACACCTCTTGCATTTTTGAAAAGGACACGCCTTCTCAGAAATGTGCGCTCCTCCTTTTCTCGTCCGCAAGGAAACAAACACACAGAGAGCTTGAAAATGGATGCAGAGAGATTTAACTCCGTTTTATCAAACGTGTGCTCATCCGTGAAGAAAATATTTTTTCCAGCGGATGTCTTAGTTACAACATTATTGAGCTAACTGGAGTAGTTTCATGTCGTATCCGACAACGGGAGGCTTTTAACAGATGACGTCCTGTTACCTTTGCTGCTGCTGTTAGCTGTCCCTGTCAGCTGCAGCCACTGATGCTTTCTAGACATCGTGATTTCCTAAAACTGAATAAATACCACACATAGCAACACAAAACTGCTTTGCTAGCTCAATCATGTTGTAACTAAGATATCCGCTGGAAAAGAGATTTTTTTTCACGGACCGTTTAATGAGTTATGACCTATTACAGACACCGCTAACGGCTAACAGGGCTAACAGCTAACGGTTAGCCCAGCTAAACGTGCACACAGAAATAGTAATGTTTGTTCAATCATTGTGTTTATAGACTTTACAAACATCGGATTAGTCCAAACGGTGATACAGTGATGTGAAAAATGTGATATATAGGCTATATATATAGCTAAAAGCTCTGCTGGTTTTCTACCCGGAAGTATTTGTAAACAACAAGGCGATTCCCTCTAACGTTATAGTCCGGCCGGACGGATGAGTCACGGCCTTGTAAAAGATAATGTTTGTTTCTTTTAGTTGGCGAGAATGTGTCGCCGCAAACGCGGCAAACATCCACTGAACTTTGACGGCGTTTTCTGCGAGCACGGCTGAGCCATTTTGTACCGCTACACGTGTTTCTAGTGGGACTATGTTAACAAGCACAAGAGTTCAGCGAGCCACCAAAGGACCGCCCTGCAGATTTACTATTGGTTCTGCAACGTAGGGAGTTTTTTTAAACTCTGAAATTGTATCCGCCCATCTAAACACAAAATCAGGGAGAAAGTCATCAGTCTTTAGTTAAGCAAAGCGTCTAAAGACTGACTTGTGAGTCTACAAATGAAGTAGACAAAAAAAGGTATCAAATGAAGTACTCTATTGGTATCAGTATCACTCTAAGGATACTAATATTGATACTGGTATCGTAATTTTTTCAACAATACCCAGGCCCTGCTCAGCTCTCACTCAAAAACCAGATGCTGCCTGTACCCCCTACAACACAAACCAGAGAACACCATCATAAGCCCTCCACACAACATCCACATAATCCATGTAGACTAGACGGGCAAACTTCACTCAGAAAGATTTCCTACGAAGGCACAGCAGTCTGATACTCCAATAATCTGAGCACAGCCTGTGCTCCTTTTTAAAAAATGGGAACCCACAACATCCAGAGCTTTCAGCATTTCAGGGCAAATTTCATCCACTCCTGGCACCTTGCCTCTGCAGTGCTTTTTATGATAATTAGTTAACTTTGCCAGAAAGATGGGCAAAGCTTCCCCCAAGTCATCTCCTTCTCTCATGTCAAGTGTGTCAGGTCAGCAGTTTCAGGGAGGGGACCCTAATTTCCCTATTACGGACAAGATTGCTCGTGCCTCAAAACACCAAATAACTCACCATCAAATATATAAAGATGTAAGATACATATCCAGGAATATGATTTTCTCTCGTAAATCTGGTTTGAAAGAAAATCCATGCACAGGTTGACACTGCAGTGCAGCCTGTGTATCGGAGTGCAGCAGGTCTTGCGTGCCTGCCTGTACCTGTTTGTGGAGGTGTATATGTGAGTGTGATTCACCTCTGCAGCCTGTGTCTCCTGGTGCAACAGCGTCAGCCCCGTCAGGTCCTCCAGGAATGAGTGTGAAGAATTAAAAACCTTGGACAGGAAGTTGAAACCTTCCCGCTCGTAATGGTCCAGGACCTTGACAAAAAACAAACAAAACAAACAACAACATGAACAAAGAACAATTTTCAGGCGATTTCCAAGGAAAAGTGTCTGTTGATACGGTAACAATACATCTATTCTGACTTAATAGTAAAAGTTCACATTGAGAACCACATTGGGAAGTCTGTGCTTTTCAACTCTCCTTCTTTAATTCATGTGTAAACAACAGTTGAGCAGCTTAAACATCCCTTTTGTAATGATGTGAAACATACAGAGTACTTAACAAAACTGACAGAAAGAGAGAAAAATATGTAAGGCTGCAACTTATGATTATTTTTATTATCAATTAAATTATTATTATTCTTTGTTTATGTTAAAATGCTATTAATAAGCTGATGCCACTATTAAATGTAAGTGAATTCCACCAGAGATAAAAACTCATAATTGTACCATTCTCATATGGTTCTAAGAAAACTCCTACCAATCATTGCATTCAGATAATCTTTTTTTTTTCTCTAACACAGCCCATAGTTTTTTAAATATAGGCCTCTACCAAACACTTGAGATGGCTCTTTATAGTAAAACAGAAAGAAGAATCAAATTTGCAAACTATAGACTGTGCTAGTAATGTTATAGTAAGCCAACATATATCTATATGTTACCATGGAATTAGTGGTACTACCAGTACTAGTATTATTTACACAGTACTTTGAAAACATCTCAGAAATGGTGAAAAATAATACTGATATAATTTTTTTTGTCATATATAAAATGGAACAACATTAAATATATGGTATTAACAACACTAAATATTCATCCTTTTTTATTTGATAAGAACTATAAATCAAAACTACCTTTACCATGAAAGGACAATTCAACTGTTTGGTTGAGCATGGCTTCAGACTGTAAAAAAAAAAATCATACTAAGAAAATTATTTTAACCTATACATATTGGATAACATTGGATATCACTAAAAACAATAAATTATAAGAGTTATTTTTATTTCTTAGCAAATAGTCAATTTTAAATACATTAGCTTAGCTTTACTACTTTTACAATAAAAAGACAAATCAACCATTGGCGCATATTACTGAAAAATTATTTGATCTTTATTAGACTTTTTTCTGTATAAAGTTACATAAATCTGTTCAGTAAGACCTCAGAAACTGAACATAACTTGCCTACCTTTGAATATACCTCCACACAGAGCCCTCACATCTGGACTGACATTTTTTGTTACCAACTTTCTGAAGGAGGTGAACTGAAAAGGCATACTATATTAGACACAGCGACATCTAGTAGATTTCTTTTGCATACTATACCTACACTGAATGGTAGAGATAGCTCAATCAGGTTGAGTTAAGTTCAACACAATTCTAGCTAAGACACAGTGACTCAAAATGTGCTCTATCAAATGGTTGAGCAGAACATTAAAGGGTTAAGAAGCAAAAAACCAACAAATGTTTGTCTTTTCTGCTGAAAATATATGACTAAAAATGATTATTTGATGATCAAAATAGTTGCGAACTACTTTGCTGTCAATTGACTAATCAATGAATGGATTAATTGTGGCAGCTCTAATAAATAAGTAGCTGAGAAGTATGAGTTATTGAGGCGCCACATTTAAATGCTACAATTAACACTACTTAGACGGAGGATACTTTAAGTCAAAAGGGTATTAAAGGTTTTGTAAAATAAATGAACCTCTTCACCTTTTACTGCATTCTGAAGTTAAACATCAGATGTTGTCTGAGACATTTCAAAGTGTTTTTTCTTCACAAAACATTACATCTTTGGTGAAAGTCCTTTTTGAGTCTGATGTGTACACTTTGAGTGGAGAGCTGAGTCGTGCTAATGCATCACGACTTGTCCACCTAAATCAAAAACATTAGGAGATGGCAAAGAGCAACTTTCTCTCTAAATGCAGCCACTGGTCCATCGGCACAACCTGTGAAACACCACAACTCAACTCCTCTGCAATCATTCTGACATGTCCACCTTGATCTCCTACCAGTACTGACTTCAAATACCCACACCTTCTTTCCAAAACACACACACATGCACACACACAGATCCTCTGCCCTCTCGGCTACCTTCCTAAGCTTGGCCAAGCCTTTCATGGACGCCCACAGACCCTCCTCTGCAGGTGTAGGGTTACCTCTGCCTCAGACATCAACACACTGTGTGGATCAACGTCTGTGTGTGTGTGTGTGTGTGTGTGTGTGTGTGTGTGTGTGTGTGTGTGTGTGTGTGTGCGTGTTCGCAGACTGACCTGGCGTCTAGTCTTGGAGCCAGACACACTGCACACAATACACACTGACGTGTCCCTCGTTCATCTTTTCAACCACTCTTTTCTTTCCTTCCCTCTCTTTTATTTCTTTGATTCTCCACTTCCATCCCCGGGATCCGTTACACAAGACGCCAACGGCCAAAACCCACTTTGTTGAAATATAGATGCTCATGACACAGAAAGCAACTTGATAACTGTGATGATCTTATGATAAAGTTAATGAAGTCACTCCAAGCAATGCACACTGACACACAGTTAAAAACACTTACATCACTCACTTATGTCCATATCAGTAGTAGATAAGATCATGATCAATGACTTCTACAGTATCCAGTCCCAGGGCACAGTCTTGGTTTAGGAAGTTTTAGATTGGAAAAAATAAGCTTTAAGTCCAGATGAAATGATATTTCAAGGGCATCTAGCCTCAGTATTATGACATTTCCGAGGGAAACAGGTAGGACATAATATAAGGAGGAATATGATTTGATTGTTAAAAAGTGGGCATATTAGGGATGGGGGAAGAAAATCGATAGAGCATAGTATCTCAATATTTTATGTGGGGATATTGTTTCAATAAACGGATGCCAAGTATCGATCTTTTATTGTATACATCATTAATTTAGCTAATACACATTTTAACACAACTTGTGGTACTAGAATAATACAATCAATTGCTTATTCGGTACACTAGATGGTGCTGATTTTTTTCCTGGTGAGGTCAGCAACTAGCCTGGAAATCCAGATGCCCCGCCCCTAGCAAATTCTAATTTGCATTGCCCGGGGATCTGGCCCCAATGAGCAGAGCCTGCTGAATCGCCTATCGGACCAATCACATCAGTCTATCTGACAGAGGCGGGCTCTGGGCGGGCGTAACATGATGATGACAGTGCTGCGCCGTAGGAGTCGAAAAGTAATTCAATTCATTCAATTCAATTCAATTTAGCTTTGGAAGAAACGCTAAGCCAACTACACTTATCTTTTTCCTTGAGAGAGGAACAGAAGACTGCCCTAGAAGACTTTGTTTCCAGGAAGGACGTTTTTGCCGGTTTGCCGACGGGATACAACAAAAGCATAATATATCAGTTAGCCCCACTTTTCAGCTAACAAATGGGGCTTAGTGCAATGAATACGTCACCTTGTTTTTGCTCTGATTGGCCATTGTGCTATCCAATTGCGTGCGGCAGCATTTGAAATGCCTCAGTTAGGCACCAGGCCCCTTGGGTAGGAAGGGTGTATCGGTGAGGGCCAGACTCAAAATCTTTCTAGCTTTGAGTCTGGATTTCCAGGCTAGTCAGCAACAGCATTTGGCAGGAACTTCGTCAAAACAAAGATGGAGGCACCGGAAAGAAAGAAACCAGAAATGCGCCGTCTGTGTTTGGATATGATGCATGCGATTTGCAAGCAGTGTCATATGAGAATACTCCGGGAATACTACGAACATGAGTGCTAACCTCACCACCTTAAGTATCGTGATAATATCATACTGTCCTCTGGCGATGGCCACCCCTAGGGCGTGTCATTACAGTGAGGCCCAGATGGTGTAACGCCAATGGGAATGTAGTATTTATCATGGAATGCGAGATGAAATCCATCGTGTTAGCAATGTTAGTTGCTGAAGCAGTCCACTGTAAAGTGCCTTCACATAATCTGGAGCTGTCATAGAAACCACTATCCTCAACTGAATAAATTATGGCACACGGCCCGTAACCACTATATTTGGGGAAACAAAGACACACCAACATACCATGCTGTTGATAGCTAGCTTACTAGCTTTGTGCAGCTTTGGTTAGGTTGCACATTGATTGATGGGTGGATGTCATGATAGTATTGGTTGAAATTGACAGGTACTATATAAGCACCCGTCATATTTTGTTTTACAGGAAGACAACATGACTGAGTTTTGATATAAGAATATAAAGAAATTGATTTTATTTTTAAAAAATTGGCATACGTTCTTAAATAGATGCATAATATGTCTGGGGATGTGATCTTAAAGGGTTAAAAAGCCATTTTTCATTTTATCTCGACTTTAAAAAGACAGAAAAAAGATGGAAAAAATTCCCCAAATCAAATCAGACGGGGTCGTGAATTATGACCAGAGAGTTGCACCTACATCAAACTGTGTATTAAAGAGATTCTTAGACTGTACAAAACTGAGTGTTTGGCCCTATTACTTTCTTGTACAGATGATACAAGTTGATAAAAAATAGAAATAATTTGAACGAAAGAAACCGTTTTCTTACAAGGGTTGGAAAACTTGACAGTGGAGTGAAGCATCTACAGTACAGGCCAAAAGTTTGGACACACCTTCTCATTCAATGTGTTTTCTTTATTTTCATGACTATTTACATTGTAGATTCTCACTGAAGGCATCAAAACTATGAATGAACACATGTGGAGTTATGTACTTAACAAAAAAAGGTGAAATAACTGAAAACATGTTTTATATTCTACTTTCTTCAAAATAGCCACCCTTTGCTCTGATTACTGCTTTGCACACTCTTGGCATTCTCTCCATGAGCTTCAAGAGGTAGTCACCTGAAATGGTTTTCCAACAGTCTTGAAGGAGTTCCCAGAGGTGTTTAGCACTTGTTGGCCCCTTTGCCTTCACTCTGCGGTCCAGCTCACCCCAAACCATCTCGATTGGGTTCAGGTCCGGTGACTGTGGAGGCCAGGTCATCTGCCGCAGCACTCCATCACTCTACTTCTTGGTCAAATAGCCCTTACACAGCCTGGAGGTGTGTT